GAGCTTCGGCGCCATTGTCAAGTACAAAGGCATGCCTCGTCGCCCGAGGCTTTGTCCAGCGCGAGGGCATCGACTTCGAGGAGGTCTTTGCACCAGTAGCACGCATGGAGTCAGTCCGTTTGCTACTTGCTTTGGCGGCAGCAAAGGACTGGCGCGTCCATCACTTGGATGTTAAATCGGCCTTCCTCAATGGTGAGCTAGCGGAAACGGTCTTCGTCAGGCAACCTCCAGGGTTCGCTGTCAAGGGAGAGGAGCACAGGGTGCTCCGACTGCGCAAAGCGCTCTACGGGCTGCGGCAAGCCCCTCGAGCATGGAACGCCAAGCTTGACACCACGCTGGGCGAGCTTGGGTTTCAGAGGTGCGCAACCGAGCACGCGCTCTACACGCGACGACGGGGGAAGGAAGAACTCATGGTCGGCGTGTATGTGGATGACTTAATCGTCACCGGCGCGCGCACGGACGATATCAACAGCTTCAAGCGAGAGATGGCAGCTCATTTCCGAATGAGCGATCTCGGCGCTCTCTCCTACTACCTCGGCATCGAGGTGAGACAGGGGAAGGAGGAACTCACACTCGGGCAAAGCGCGTATGCCTCCAAGCTATTGGAGAGGAGCGGCATGGTGTAGTGCAAGCCATGCGTGACTCCGATGGAGGAGCGGCTGAAGCTGACGAAGGACAGCACCGCGGCGAAAGTAGATGCAACACTCTACCGGAGCATCATCGGCGGTCTGCGCTACCTAGTCCACACAAGGCCGGACATTGCGTTCGTCGTGGGCTACGTTAGTCGCTTCATGGAGGATCCCAGAGATGATCACTAGGCTGCGGTGAAGCGGCTACTACACTACGTCAAGGGGACGGTGAATCATGGAATCATCTTCCCAAAGGCCAGGGGAAGTAGGTTGTAGCTCACGGTATTCAGCGATGCAGACATGGCGGGGGACATCGACGGACGACGGAGCACCTCTGGCGTACTCGTCTTCCTCGGGTCGGCCTCAATTTCATGGTCGTCATTTGAAAGCAAAGGTGGTGGCGCTATCTACATGCGAGGCAGAGTACCTAGCGGCGCCATAAATGGCGTGTGCCAAGTTGTGTGGCTACAGCCGGCTGCTTATGGCGAAACTAACCGGCGTGAAGCTCACCCACCAAAGATCGATGGTGGACAACCACTTCGCCATCGCCTCGCGAAGAATCTGGTTCTGCACGACCGAGTAAACACATCGACATGAAGTTCCACTTCCTCGGTATGTATTGATGGAGGATGGATCGTCATCGAGTTTGTCGAAATTGGTCGGCAACTCATGGACGTCCTCACCAAGCCGCTCGGACGACTTTGACTCACAAGGAGATGATCGGCATGGAGGGGGTGCAAGGGTTAGCAGTAGGATTAGGGAAAGATTGTTAGCTAATCTACTGCCACATTATGTGAAACACAAGCAGAGGAAGACGGCGCCGACTTTTGCCCCATGTTTGTATCAGAGCAGCTGCAGTGCAAAGCCAGACGCAGTTCACCTGCAAAGATTGTAGGCACATGATGAAGGGCTTGCAGAGTCAGTTGTATGCTTATCTAGTTACTATTACAACGATGTGCCAAGTAGTTAGTTAGATAGAGTTGTATAAATAGGGCACCAAGGCAACAGTAAAGAGAGCTCAGATTTGCCATCACACGTACGGGGCCCTCGGCCAACGTTGTTGTTTTTTATTGTGCGTGCTTGCTCTGTTCTCCTTCTTCTTCTAGCTCGATCCGTGGTGTGTGGGTGCGGACACAACCGTATAGTGGTGCAGACTAGTGGTGCAGGAAGACTAGTGGTGCAGTGCAGGGAGACTAGTGGTGCATAATAGTGCAGGAAGACTAGTGGTGCAGGAAGACTAGTGGTGCAGTGCAGGAGACTAGTGATCTAGAGACTAGTTCACTGGGTCGAATCCTATGCGATGTTTGGGAAACTATTCATGACCATCTCAATTTGCCAATCACCCATCTCCCTTTGCCGCAAACCATTCATGAGCTTATGAATCATACCTCCCACACTTGGAACTCTAATCTCATCTCGACTATTTTCAGCAACGAGGCTTCTCAAGTCATTTGTAGCACTCGAATTGTCCCTTCGGATCAACCTGACATCATTCGATGGAAAACTTCTAAGAAAGGTGTTTGTACTAGTAAGGTTGCCTTCAGACACCTGAACTATCTCTTGCACACTCAAATTCCCAGAGATGGTGCCAGGGGTGTTAGTGATCAAGCTCTCTCCATTCTGAGTAGAGTTTGGAAGCATAAGCAAATTTCACCCTGCATCAAAACTTTTGCTTGGAGATTGATCAGAAGAGCTCTAGCGACAGGGATTAGAGCTGGAAGATACACTGACAAGATCAAGAAGGAATGCACTACTTGTAATCACCATGAAAATGATTCCCATTTGTTCTTTCACTGCCCATTTGCCAGACCTGTCTGGTTCTCTTCCCAACCGCCCAGATGCACTTCTGCTCTACCCCTTGAGCAAGATGGTGTTCAAGAAATCTTATCTATTCTCATTGATCAGAACAATACTGATGACCAGGTCCAAATTGTTTTCACAACCCTTTGGTACATTTGGAAAGCAAGAAACGATGCTCGATTCAATAGCAAATCTTGGACAGTTTGGCAGGTACATAATGCTGTGGCAGCTGATATTAATTCATATTTGTTCATTTTAGAAAACAAAAGCTTGCAGGCGCAACAACAGCAGAGGCATGACGGAACACAGGAAGCAATGGAGATAGAACAGCAGATGATCCCCCCAAACAGCCTGCAACAGCACATGAGCCCTCTACACACAGCAATAACAACACATGCTTCCCAAGGGCATCTAGCCCATTTGCAAAACTCCAATTTGCAGGTCAATCAGGAGCTAGGCGAGGGACGTGATCCTGAGAATGGTGCAGGAACAATGACTCATGGAAATGGACGCCCAGGTAACAATATTTCTATTGCAGGTGATGAGTTGCAGAGAACCCCCAACAGTGAGCAAGGTTGCCAGCTAGCCATCCGCCCAACAGACAGGCAAAGAAGATTCCATCTGGCAGGAAGGCAATACAGCCATCGCAGATCAACATTACTTCATGAAGGTAGAAACTTTTCTCATGCAGGATTGCAGGCTCCAAGACTGCCAGATGCATCCGCTGAAATGCAGCACTCGACGACGAATCCACTAATGTCACCCCGACTACATGTGACACTGCCGCCGCTCATTCCTGGCACAAGATGTTACACAGATGCTTCCATACACCCCGATTCTCCTTTGCAGGTACCAAGGAAAGCTGGGCTAGGAGTGTTCTTCCTAAACACTTGCCCGGGTGAATCAGGAACAATCTACATCAAAGCACTTGTGCAAAGATGCACCTCAGTGCACTGAAGCTGCAGCCTTGGCTCTAGCAGCTAGGACTGCCTTGGCACTAGGCATCCAAAGACTGCTATTTTTGTCGGACAACCAACGGTTTGTGACTTTCCTTTCTGGAAACGATCACACTCATCCGCCGGCCTGGAACATCAAAAGCGTCACTCAGAGCTTCGTCAATCATTCTTCAAAAGTGCATGGGAGAATCTACAAGATTCAGAGAGAACTGAACAAAACTGCTCATACTCTAGCAACGCAGGCCTTCAGATCTATTAGCTTAAGTTGTACTGAACTTCAAGTCAATTGTACCAATGCCAGTCATGGCGATAGCTGTCCTACAAAGGAAGCCCTGCTATCTGTAACTGGTGATGTTTTCACCAACATTGCAGCACAAGCAAGTTTCAGAACCAAACAACTAGCTCTGTAATCTTGCCCAGCCAGGCAAAAGAACCAAACAACCACCTTGCTGGACATAACTTTACTAGGCAAAGCTAGTCTATCCAGCAAAGCAAGGCGAGATCTGGTCAAGGATCCAAACGTGCCCTAAAGCTTGCTCTTTATAAAAAATAATAATAATAATATATATATATATATATATATATATATATATATATATATATATATATATATATATATATATATATATATATATATATATACACACACACAACATATTACAAATCTTCTGTTTCCTATGATCCTGCCAAATACAACTGGGCACAAAAGAAACCCCCAAGAGATGCCTCTCATTCCCATTCACCAGAAAAATCGATTATCACAACTAAACGAGCTGATTTTGTTATTCCTTGGAACAAATTCCCATCGGACAACAATAAATATTACCAGCATCAGTGTTGTCAATAAGCAAGCTGCTAGCCTACGTGCGTTTACACAAGAGCGTCCTGTACACAGTTGTAGCACATTACAGGCAAGAGCACCCAATGGCACTATCTAGAGAGTATCTTAACTGCCAATTATGAGCTTGCAACTTGCATCACTCACTGTTTTGTTCGAAAAGCAAACTTCTTGAAGATGCTTCGCCCCAGTATTGCAGTTCATGTCGTTGGTTGACAGCAGCCAGCACTTCCAATAATCAATTGGTTTAAGAAGCAGTGCACGTGGTGGTACCATGCCAGTTTTTTTGCATCATATATATCACTGTCAATGGCGGAATGTTCTAACAGCTTGGTCAATTCTTCTCCGGCAAAGTGGGCAGTTTGTCAAATGTGAAGAGCATGCCATACAGCAACACATGTGACCGCACCTGTGTAATTATTAGATTAATTACCAAGTCACTTTAAAATCCAAACAGAAACTTTCAGTGGCGACAACAATGATAGCAAGGATTAAAATTATGAGCGAAATTTGCATATCTGCAGTTCGACTATTTTCTCAGGCTTCTTGGTGAAGCATTGTGCGAAATAATGCTTATTTAGTCTTTTTTAACCCTTTTAGACCCTGTTTGGATGCAACAAACTTTATGGTTTTGAATACCATGGTATTGCTAAAAGTTGTAGTCTTTTTCGAGTTTTTAAAACTCCACTCTAGACCTCTTTTTTGTAAACCATGGTTTCGCAGATCAATGGGTTCTAAAATTACAGTTTCTCAATACTACAACATCCAAAGAAGGCCTTAGCAGTATTCAAGTTTTGTCAAGTTATGAGGCAAGCTGTTATTAAGAAAAAAATTAAGAAACTACTAGTAAACAGGAAACAGGACAACCATAATGTTGCCTAGTATATTTGGAATTATGGAAAAGGAAACGGAAATAAAAAAATAGAGGAACTCAAGCTGCTTCATTCTCAACAAAGAACATTCATGCTCTGGAAAACATACAACACTTACGGCACAAAAACAGCATTGTACTCTTGCTCAAGGCATATGACACATATATCCAACACTAATTGGTCTTTTTTACTGTTAGGCTCTGTGTCCGATGAACCATTGCTCCCTGAACAAAATAATACAAGATAATAATTAAACATGACAATTACTAATAATACAACATATCAATATATAAGGAAATCACCTTCAGCTTCTCTAGCTTGTCTTTGTGCTGCTGCATTAAGAACCCTATATGGATAAAATAGTATCAGAATCTTCTGTGCTCACTAAAGCCTTAGTATGCAAATACATGCATTAGCATTAGTCTGTGGTAACAGTAACACTAAACACAAACAGAATCTATTAGCACTGGTATTAGATACCAGGCTTAAGGGATGCAGATTCAATAACGTAGCTCTGGTAAGTCACCACGTGACTTAGCATCCATCCCCAACACCCGTTTCCTATCCAACAGCTTGCTCCCAGTCGACTATCGTCCTCTATCTCCCCTTCCAGACTTAGCATTTTCAACAGAAAGAGGCCTGGTGGCATGCCCCAGGTGAGGTGGAGCTCCGCACTTCTGCCATCTGCTTGACCTTGCCTCGGCACTAGCGCCATCAGCTGGAGACAACGATGCATTCGGGGCCAACAGACCTCGCTGCCATCATCTCTGCTATCGTGACCACACAAAAGGGCTTCACTTGCGATGGGCAACCGGTGGACAGCTAGTGCGCCTCTGCGGTGCAATGGGCACATGAACACGTGAAGCAGGTGTGGTCAAGCACCATCACCACGTCCTCGTGCTACCGTGGAAACTACCTCGGTGCCCATGCAGCCACACTTGTCATAGTCTGCCGACACATGTTTGACGCAAGTGCCAATCACCATCAGGCCGAAAAAGGGCCCAGCCATGGATGTAGAACAAGTCCTCATGCTTCGCCAAACCGTTTGTCCACGTAGGCCATGAAGCAGCCGATGTTGGAGAAGCAAAGGCCTCGTTGGGTCCGGCCCTGCAGGATACCGCAGTGGCACCACAGTGGGGAGTCCCGACCCTTCTCCAACATCCTTTGGAATGGCATGGGAATCTAGGCGGCTGCCCAGCCGTCAATATCCTCTGGCGTGGCGCGGGAATCCTCTGTGGAGGCCTGGCCCTTCTCCGTATTCTCCGAGTTCGCGCACGTAGAGATGGACACAAGAGTCTGCTTCCATGGCCTCATCTTAATCTCGCCAGCGCTCATCCTTTCCTCGGCGGCTACCTTGCGCCCTGGCGGTGGCTTGCTTGCTTCTCATCAATGGCATTCTGACGACTGCCTGCCCTCCTCCCTCTCCCTCTGGGGGCGGAGCGAGAACCACCAGCTCTTCCAGTCCGATGCAGTGCACAGGGTGTTGAGAAAGGCTCGCGGTCTGTCATTCACGGGTGAAAAGCCAAATCCTAGGATGAAATCGCTAGCAGCCTTTGGACTATCCTTGGACGGTGGATATGGCAGGGTAAGTCCCGGCGTTACTTGCAAGAGGCAAGTCACCGAATCTGTGTCCAGGCTTAAGAACATACGACGTATTCACCCAATCACCCATCCTTTCCAATTTCATGCGACGTCTACAAAAGTTTTAAATTAGCTACAGGTTGCACATGTGTCAATAGAAAGGCATACAAAGATTACAAAGTTACACAATAAATTGTAATAGTGCAAGTCATTTACATTCTATCATGGCCAGAACAGAAAGATAAACCTCTTTAAAAACCCGAACACTTAAACCTTAAAGAATGCTACTACATTTCATTTGGATTTGAATGTTCTAGAAGGAAGTGACGTAAGGAGTTAGGCACCTTTTTTGCAGTTCATGTCGGCGCTTTCTTTCTAGAAAATGTTGTATTGCACGCTTTGCAAGAAGGAAGACACCAAATGTTGCAAAGCCCATTGAAGCAAGGCGGTATAACCTGTCACAAACATGCTACTAGCATAAGATACCCTAACTAAGAACAAAAGAAAATGTTCTAACAATTTTTCCTACTTGGCCCATTTTCCAAGATTCAAAATAAGTTGATCAATGCTTTTTGGTGATACATAAAAGGGTCCTTTATGTGGTCGCTGAATTCGAATAGTTCCAACATCATCTTTAATGGCCTGTTCATGCAGTATAAGAATAAAGAACAAAAGGAAGAGACAAAAATACATTAGACATGTCAACAAAGACTAATGCAACACAGCACAGACCAATGAATAATAGAAATAATACCTCACCAACAACCGTCAATGAGGTTCCGGTTGGAAGAACCCTTTCAGTTCGCTTTACTCCCAGCATCTATATAGATAATTGCTTAATCACTAACTGTGTTTCCATAAGTATTGGCACTGTTGAAGATGTGATTAGACAAACCTTCAACCCTTGTAAATAATCTAGAGTTCCACGTACAAGAGTCCTCCCCGACTCCTCAAAAACCTCACTAGCAACAGTTAAAATTAAACCAGCTGCAGAACGAGCACCGACCACATATACGCGTCCAGTTCCATCATCCTAGTGATTGTTTAAAGGTTAGAGAAGCTTCCCAGTTGCAAACTGCGAATAAAAATTATTAGAAATGATATCATTTTTTTTGCATGAAGGGATCCATATAGCAAATCTGGAATAGCCATATTCATTTTCATCCTGAGCTGTAACTTGATAAACGTTTAAATACCCATTGGCATATCCAATGCTTAGAATTATCATTCATTTGGGACAAGAAGCTCATGTACGATATCAACACTGCCTAAGCTAGGGGCTAATTTAAGGTGTAAGCCTGGCCAGCCAGAGCTAGCAAGGCTGGGCTTTGGAGCTTATAAGCTGAGTTTATCCACACAACAAGCGAAATCAGTAAGCTTGCCAAGAAAAGACCATAAGCTTAGTTGTAAACCCAAGTTTGCATAAATTAGCATATTGACAGTAGCGATAGTTCGAGCCCAGGCTAAATTGGAAGTCTTATATTTGAAAAAGCAAAGCAAATCACAGCATAATAGCTACAGCAGTTAGTTACCAGATACCATGGAACCTCTTTGCTAACAGAAAGCATCACTGCAGAATCTTGAATCCAGGATCCAGCATCGTTGTGCTTCAAGGAAGTGTTGTTCAGCCTACAAAGAGAATGGTTAAGCAGAAATAGAAATACTATATTGATTGCATCACATTACCCATCGTAATAATAACAAAATAATGAATGAAATCAGTAGTTACCGTTTCCTCAACGATTACACCTCTCATGCCGCTTTGTTGGCATATAAGTGGTGTGTCTGAACCAACTCTCCCAGAGACAGCAACTACAAGTGGTAGGACTTTACTTGCAGTGTCCAAGATAGCAGCTGTTGAAGACAGTGCAGACATGAAAAAAAAATTTATCATCCATATACTCAAACAATTAAAATGACCGATAAATTCTGTACAAAATATACACCTAAACTGAAGTTCTTTTATAGATTCTTATAAGCAACCAAAACACAACAAGACTACAGTTCTCTATCTTGATTGTATACTGAGAAAATCTGCAAAAGCTTTAATTGCCAAATATGAACCCCAGTTGAGAAACTTATCCTGTTTGCACTTTTACCGAGAGCATAGGTTAGTATCCACCCATTAGGAGGTCTTAGAAACCACACTAAAACCAACATATATGCCTAAATATAGAGTGAAATGACTGGAGAAACAATCGAGCAAGCATATCAAAGTGAACAGTCAATTTTTGACAACCGTGTATATAGATCATATCATAAAATGACAAGTCAGGTCAGTGTAAACCTGGTACAATTCTACCAGGGAACAAAACCATATGACAACACCCTAGTGGTAACCTAAGAATCAGGAGTACTAATCTAAGCTCATTTCAACAGATATATATAGAATAAAAAAGTACCACTAAAAGCTCGTCTGACTTTTTCTTTCACATATACACACTTCGGTTTCACTATCATTTGTATCATACAGAAAAACAGAATAGATGAAATCAAACAATGAACCTTCGCAAAGGCTGAATACACTACTAACTATTAATTAACCACAAATAGACTAGCCAAACCCTAGCCCGTCACAAACTGACCTAAATCCTTCATGCTGCCAGCCCTCGCCACCGACCGCAGCACCTCTGCATCCCTGAGCACCAAACAGCCAAAATAAAAATAGCGTGAATCTCGCTGAAATCGCACCGAAAAAGAAAGAAAAAAAATTAACACGCGAGGGATCGGTACCTTCCGCTGCTCCTGCCGAGGAGATACAGCGCCGCAGCGCTGAGGTAACACCCCACGCCACCCCACGGGATCATCATCTCGCGGCAGATCGCGCACGAGAATCGCGGCGTGCGAATGGAGGCGGAGATTTGCGCGCCGAATTATTATTTTTCCTTCCCCCTTCCTACGTCAGGGAGCGCGGGGAGGGAGGGAAGGAGAGGAAGGGGGCGGAGGGGCAAAGCAAGGAACTGGATACGGATACCTACCAGAAGCGGAAACGGACGCCGCGTCATCCAGGGGGAGTGGGTCCACACTGTCAGATTCGCTGACTAGTGGGGTCTGCAGTGGCTACCCCCTACTCCAGTGACACCAGGCTGCGTTGGTCCCACAGGAAATGTGGGGACTGGGGAGCGCGAGCTCTGTCGCTGTGACGTGGGGACAGGCCGCCAGGCCAACTCTACTAGCTCTCTCACTGCGTGAGGGTCCCGCAGCAATCACAGAGAGAAGCAGGGGTACCTAGGGTTTTAGAGCAAGGGGGTTCTCCGCGGCGGCGACGGCGAGCCATGGAGAACTCGAAGCTCTCGTCGGCGCTCTTCGCCGGGACCCACTTTGACCGCAAGCGCTTCTCCGCCGACTTCGCCCGGTTCCGTAAAGGCCCGGCTCTCCCATCCGCCGCCGCCCCCTCCGCGCCGTCCCCGGAGAAGAAGCGGAAGCGCAAGAGCGGCAAGGCAAAGGCGAAGAAGAATAAGAAGAAGCGAGCCGAAGATGCGGCCGCCGCCTCGTCGGGTGTGGCTATCTACCGGTTGATTGGCTTGCCGCTTGGTTAATGATTGCGTTGGTAACTCAATCCTGCCGCGTGTGCTGTGCTCTGCAGATGTCGTGGAGGGGTTCAACGTTTTCAAGGGATTGGCGAATAATAATGCGGAGCTGCGTTCTGAGAAGGTGGATATGAGGAAGGATGAGGATTCGGTGGCTGTGAGGCGGCGGAAGGAGATTGAGAGGGAAATCGAGGTAATTGAAATTCTTCAATTCACTGGTGTCGCTGTATTACATGACATGATTATCCCATTCATGTAAGCAAGTGGCCAGTTTTTGTTGACCTGGATTATCACTCATGAAGATTTGATTATTAAAAGCCCGCGTGTCCTAAAATTTGCGGAGTGGCCCCTTCAGTAGCCTGCTTGAATTGACGGTAGTGCCGGAGATTACAGCTAGATGTATTATGTTTGCAATTGCAATTTCCAAAGTTTTTTTGTTATCACTGTTTCATCTGGATGGCAGATGGCTGGAGTTTTATTGGTTTGATTTTGCTTTTCCCTTTGCAGAGGGCCGCAGTTCTTCGTAAGAGGTTTGACATCCACATTGCCGGGCAAAATGCTCCAGCACCACTTGAGAGCTTTGAAGAATTGATTTCAAGGTTAGGATTTTCTACCATAATAGATCAACTTCAGATTATGGTTATAATGGAATCATTTGAGGTGGTTAAGTTGACTTCATTTTTGCACTAGGTATGGTTGTGATTCTTATTTGGTTGGGAACTTGTCAAAACTTGGTTTTCAAGAACCTACACCAATTCAAAGGCAGGCCATGCCCATTCTTCTTTCGGTGAGTGAGTTTGAACTCTCTGGATTTAATACTCTTGCCTGGGAAACTCTTATAATTGTTTAAGCCCTTACGGTGATTTATCTTGCATTCCTTACTTTCAGGGTAGGGAATGCTTTGCGTGTGCACCTACTGGTTCTGGCAAGACACTGGCTTTCTTGTTTCCACTTCTTATGAAAATTAAGGTATGTCTTTATAGTATTGCACTATAGTGTTCAGATTGGTCGATATGACTCTTGATGAGTTTTGTTCTAATAGCCAGGATCAAAAGGTGGTGTTAAAGCCGTGATTCTTTGCCCAACAAGGGAATTGGCTGCACAAACTGTGAGAGAATGCAAGAAGTTGGTTAAGGGGAGGAAGTACTATATTAAATTGATGACCAAAGAACTATCCAAATCAGGGAATTTCAAAGATATGCACTGTGATATCCTTGTTTCCACCCCTCTTCGTTTGGACCATGCTGTAAAGAAAAGAGACCTTGATTTAAGTAGGTATGTGAGCATGACTTTGAATCCTTTGCTGTTTTGTTTTCCACTGGTTTTGGTTAAGCAATGTATTGATGGCCACTTCTGGCAGGTTGTTTTGGTTTATGTTTAATTGTTTGAATCATGGCTGAAACATGGTGTTCCATTTTCTAACATTATTTTAAAAACAGATTATTGCACACTTGTGCAGTTTGTAGCATTTCATAAAAAAAAATGAAAACTTGTAGGAGGCTACAATTCTTCATGTGTCATTCAGAAATAGAGTTCTGTTTGTTAGAAATAGTACAAAGCCTGTGATTCCTTTATTCTTATTTATTTAATTTAGGAATCATAATTTCGAAAGATCAGTTAAGCTACCCTCTACCCTTGTTCTGTTTTCCAACTCACCTGTGTTTTCTTGTTATTTAAGGATGAACTAGTGAATTGTTTCTTTCCGCATTGTAAAGCATAATCTGAATAACAGAACCTCCTTTGCAGTGTGGAATACCTTGTCTTGGATGAATCTGATAAACTTTTTGAGCTTGGATTTGTTGAAGTGGTTGATTCAGTTGTTGAAGCCTGTTCCAATCCTTCAATAATTCGGTCTCTGTTCAGTGCCACTTTGCCCGATTCAATTGAGGCTCTTGCAGGCACTATAATGCATGATGCCATTCGAGTCATTGTCGGCAGAAAGTGAGTTTCTTCCTCTAAATATGAACCTAAATCTGGTCTGTTTCCTTTGTTATTTCATCACTTTCTGTTCAACTTAACAGGAATTCGGCCTCCTCACTGATTAAGCAAAAGTTGATTTTCGCTGGAACTGAGAGGGGAAAGTTGCTAGCTCTTCGCCAAAGCTTTCAAGAGGTATTTATTAACCCTTCTCGGGTTTTGTGTCTGTGTTCCAAATATCCAATGCACTTTCAGGGTTCCAAATGATGGGTAAACCAAGGAATGCAAATGTATCTGCATGGAATTTCACTTGTGAATTGCAGTTATTTGAAGTATAAAATACTGTTGCTGAACGAATTGCATTGTTAACGCTGAGCTAGCCCTCTACAGTTCCATGTACTACCCATTTATGCGCTAACAGTGCACACATATGGATAACAATGTCAGACATGGACATAGTCTGCTGCTGCAATTATGTTTTTGAACATAATATTTGAAAAATACCTAACTAAAAATACTGTTATACATGAAGGTTTCTTTTTTATAATGTTTATAGATAATGTTACTTATTTCTCATCAGATTTTTTTTTCATGAACTGCAGTCTCTCAATCCTCCAGTATTGATTTTTGTTCAAAGCAAAGAGAGGGCCAAAGAGCTTTACAAAGAACTGGCATTTGACGATGTTAGAGTTGATACAATTCATGCAGATCTCAATGAGCAGCAGGTATTGCTTTGCATATTATTGTTACTGCTATATTTCAGAGACGTCAGTGCTATTTTGTTTAGAGTTGCGGTACTTTTGTATCAGGTTCACATGTTGTCAACATATGTTTGCTTTACTGCAGCGTCAAGATGCTGTTGACAATTTGAGAGCTGGAAAGACCTGGGTACTGATAGCAACAGAAGTCATTGCCCGGGGAATGGACTTCAAAGGTGTAAACTGTGTGATAAACTATGATTTTCCGGAGTCAGCTGCTGCCTATATTCACAGGATAGGTAAGAAAGACATTTGGATTTTGACTGACGCAGACACTTCTGCCTGCACACTGACAATGTTGATGCCTGAGCTCTGATGTACTCCTACATTTGATTGGCTCAATATTGATTCATGGTTATGAATTTATATAGAAATATAATAGAACTTTAGATTAGTTTCTTTTCAAATATGGCTTATCATCGTGCCTGTTAGGTTCCTTTTTTTGAATACTTATCAGATATAAACGTGCCCAGCTTTTTCTTGCACTAATAAGATTATTAAGTGATCCTTTAATTAGTTTGCAGTCACATTAGTTTGCATATGTGCATCTGGTGTGGGCACCTTGTGATACTGAAATGCCTTATAAATGTATCTATATTTCCTCTGTACAGGACGATGCGGGAGAGCTGGTAGGTCTGGGGAGGCTATCACGTTCTTCACAGAGGAGGACAAGCCATTTTTGAGGAATATCGCCAATGTGTTGGTATCTTCAGGCTGTGAAGTGCCTTCCTGGATAATGGCACTGCCAAAGCTCAAGCGAAAGAAGCACAGGGTGGATAGGGACCCAATCTCCAACTTACCTGATGAAGATTGAGAGTGGCTTTGTAACATAGCTCTCTTTTTTTGGGATATATAACACAGACTGTCCAGAGTGGTACTGTAACCATGCACTTCCGAGATGGCACGTTGGCTTCAGTTTTCCCTGTTTGAATGCCCAGTGTATCGATCAGTTTGTTTAGCCACAACCCAATACGAGGCATCAGTATATCTTTGTTAATTACGATACAGTTTCTGTGGTCGATCAGTGAATCCACAAGTAGAGTAGCTCGATTCTGTTTGGCCTAGAGCTAGTCATTGCAATTAGGCCTCGTTTGGTTCGCTGAAAAAACAAACCAAAACACTCTTTCGACTAATTTGTTGTGAGAGAAAAATACACTGTTTCGGCTGAAAATCAAGCTGAAAAAGACGAATCACGAGAGTCTCGTACTGCCTAGCGCTGGTCAGATTGCAAACGCTCCATCGGCGGCGGGCCACACTCCACGGAGAATTGCGGCTGTTGTACAATCAAAGGGAGAATGTCACCTGAACTGATAGGATACGCGTGCGTGCGGCGCATCGCATCGCTGGAAGGGGGCAGCGAGCGTCGCGGAGAGATTGAGGGAGACGGGGTTTTCTTTCTTTCTTTCTTTTGACGGGACGACGGGAAGCTCCGGGAGGGGACGGGAGGCTGCGGACGCGCGGAGAGTAGATATTTCGAGGCGGTTACTGTAGGAATCGGTGGGAGCAACCAGGGCCGTAGATCGCGAAATCCAACGGTGAAAACAATTTGAGGTGATGTGGACCGGCTGGTTAGCAGCCAAAGTACGCCAGCTTGATAAGAAGAAA